AGGTTTTCAAATCAAATCAAGCTTGTTTATATAGCACATTTAAACTCACTTTATTATGGTTATACATTAGATGATTAGGTGAGCTAAATGGCATCTAAAGAGACAAGACTCAAGACTTCCTTTGATGCGTTTCATTATGTTTATAATAAGCACTTTACTACACGGCCTTTTTCTACTAATAGTATTAATATATTTTCCTATATTAATGTAACTGCTGGATTTCAATCTGTGTGTCTTTTGTCATGTAACTCTTATTTGCAGGCCAAGAACAGAGCCATCCACTACTTGTACTATATAGAACGATACAATGACCACACCAGTAAGTGACTTTGAATCTTCGTTTGTCCTTTTGTTCTTCCTCTCTTCCTCCATAAAACTGCGGTCTGTTTATTCACATTTTAAATTTCCATCTGTTATTATATGCTTATGTTAACTTAGTATTACATGCCTGCCAGCCTTTGTCTCTGTAAACAGAATCTGATGAACACGATACAGAACAATCAAAATTTCATGCTTCATTCTACTTTGAAAAGGCTATCTGATTATAGCCTTAGTTGGGGGAGATTGCTGCATAAATTAATTTGCATATTAACGAGGAAACTCATTTCCTGAAAATTGCTTTTACTTCTTAATGCCACGTATGCAGTATGCAAAGACAAGCATGATGGTGTGAAGAAGTTTAATTTAGTGTAAGTTCTTATGTAAGTATTAGAGGAGCATGGGTGAAGGGTTTAACTGAAGAAGACATGAGTAGCAGGAAATTTAGAATTACAACTCCCTCTTCTCCCACTCTTCTCCCACTCTTCTCTGCATCACTTTCATTCAACGCCTTTATCTCCATGTACTCCTCTGATTCAACACTGTACCCTCCCATTACCTGCTGGTACTCATACAAAGGATATGATCTATAATATTCATTTGTAAAGAAAGGTTTGGGAGTTAAAATGCACTGCTTCTCCGTTCTAATTGTAAGACTTAATTTGGCTTCTTTGGCCTTCTTTGGAGAGCAGAGCCTGAGAGATTAATGAGCGTGAGTCATCGGCCTCCAATGGCCCACCGGAGGAGAAAGTTAGCTTCCAGCTCTGGTCTAAAACCAGAAGAACTGCATGTGTGTCACTGTCAGTGTCTTTGTGTGTGTGTATATTGTTGGTTCTGTATTTCAACCAGCTTGAATTGGAAACTGAGAAAATGTTTTTAGGCTCATGGAAAGATGATGCTGCCACATGCCAGCTCTCCCTATGTGTCCATCTGCAACCTGACAGTGTGACTCATTTGTTTACTTTCTTGTTTTGAATGTTATAATTGTATCAAAGCTCCAATTATGCCTGGATAAATTTAACTTTCTGTCGCCTTTGTTGCTCCATCGCTCAAGTTTTATTTGCTGCAAGGTTTTAGCCAATCTGTTTGTCTGATACTCAGTGAGCTGCACTGATTTTACAGTGGCTACTGTTTGAATTTGAATTACTCTAAAGGCAGTAGCGAGTTTGGTTGTGTTTGATTTAGGTACATTTTCACCTTTTTTGTAAGAGAACAAAACATCCTGGGATGATATTACAGTCAATTCCCACACTCATTTTAACTGGTTTGAACTAGGGTAGACTTTTATTTCAGTGTTTCAGTTACTTAAGTTTAGAAAAGTGTTTCCGATGTGGGAGTTAGCAAGATTTCTTTCTGCTCTGACTTTGTCACTTTGACAGAAAACAGCGGGACCTCTTTCAGCTGCTACAAATTAGCTCTCTTTACATGTGATCTGATTATTCTCCTCATCTACAATGTCCTGTGAAGTGTGTAAAAGCGCTTTAGCGCAAGAACAAGATTTTAACCTGAAGCTATAATATCGGCTTCATTCAGCAGCACACAGTTCCCTCTCAAGGACTGTGTGTCACTGAATAACTAATTAGCCACAGCTGCTCCAGTGAGCAGGCAATACTGACATGTGGAAGGACATCTGGTGGGCAGGTAGAGAAACAGGAGACCTGAGGGAGAGCAGGGGAAAAGATGCATAACAAAACACAGGTGCTTTCATTCAGAAATGGCACAAAGCTTGTAAAAAAAAATAATTCAATTTTCTGGCATCATTTTGGTCTGATTATTATGTCTCAGTACAGCAGCTTGTTTTCTCTCTGCTCTGCAGCCAGTTAGTATAATTAAGCTGTTGTTCTTCTCTTCCAATAGTTTACCATGACATTGATTCCAAGTTTAAGAGGACGACGCTCTGCATGAAAAAACAAAACAAAGGTATATTTCAGTTTCCAAAATGTCCTCTTTTATTGCACGATTTTCTAAAGTCTAAAAGAAAAAACTTTACATTTCCACCAGCCTTAGTTGCAAGTACAGTTGACCTTTCAGCAGAAAGATACCTGTTTGCACATTCAGCAGCAGTTAAGATATCCGTGGTGTCCTGAAAATGTCTGTGTCTGCAGGTTACGGTCTGCACTGCCACAGGGCGGTCATCACTCTTTGCAAGCTGATCGGTATAAAAGACATGTATTGCAAAGTAGAGGGATCAGTCAATCTCCTGAACATCACCCGGGCTCTCTTCACCGGATTAGCCAGTCAGGTAAGAAATGTTTGGGGGCGTTTTCACAAATTGGTTTTATGGTTTTGGAAAAGCATACAGGTTTTAGCAGGAACATAAACTTTCATGAAAGCATAAGAGCTCAGATTCTTATTAGCTTTCTTAATTTTATAAAGATCATTTTTGCCATTTGTTACTCCACTGTAACAATAGAGAGAAAGAGAGAGCAAACATGGGGAAAGAGAGCAGTGGCTGCAGCAGGCTTGCAGTAAAGGTCTCTGATGGAACTGGACACTCACTGCTGATGTCATTTGCACCATATCAGGTGGCCTTCTGAATGCTGAAAACACAATAGTGACATATTATCACCTTGTAAGTACAGCTAACCTCCCAGCAAATGGATGCCTGTTTAGACAGGGGTTGTATTTGTGTCCACCTGAGTAATGTTACTGCAACATTACCTCCACCTGTAGCTTTTTCTCAGTTTATCCCTGAAGGGAAATATCTGGCTTCTTAATAATTCTGGCCAACTAATCTTATTTTACTTTCAGTTATAATTTGGGGCTTCAGTGGTGATGAAAACAAGACATTTGAAATGAAGCAGTTATTGCATTTATTTTTCCAATAGTTTTCTTGTTATGTCTTCTGTTATAAATCCAGCACATTTTCTAAATGGCTGTTTCACCCGAGCTCTCTCAGTGCAGCTGTAGGTATCATTATTTTGCTCTTCACAGTCTGAACCTAACTTCTCTTTCCTTTGCTATTTCCACTTCACTGGTTTCATGTGTTCTTCGGTCAAAATATATTTAGATTTCAAGCAACTTTTTAACTATAAAAATGTGATGCTTTGAAACTTTATGAAAATAATGTTTAAAAAATTGTCTAAATATTGCTGAAAATACTCATTTGGATTTTATTTCCCAAGTCACTAACTTTGTAGTTCCAAAAACTAAAAGTTTATGGAAAAAGTTTATATTATAGAAGCTGCTAAGTTCATAGCCCCAGTAACAGTTTCCATATAAAAATGTCTACCTCTTCTGTTTCTCCGTAGGAAACCCACCAGACTCTGGCTGACAAGAAGCAGCTCCATGTGGTAGAGTTTCAGTCGCAGCGTGGCCTTCTGCCCATGGTGGTGGCGAGTCCCAAAGACGGCGCACGACCCAACCAAGAGTCAGAGGATGAGATTCCCAACACCCGGCTGCACTGGGATGACGTACGAGCTGCACAGGGGTTGAAACGCTCGATCTGGGCAGGTGTCAAACGCACCATCTGGTAATGCGTGGGAAGGCTGATGCTTGGATAAGACCAAAGGAGACTTGAGTGGACTGAAGGAAACCAACAGTGTCAAATGGATTATCTGACTTGTTTTTTTTTCTAGTAACAGTATGTGTTTGCTAGAATTTTGGTTTTTGTTAACGTCTCAAAATGTGATGGACTCTGTTTGTAAGAGTCCTCAACTGAGGACTAAAGTTCAGTGCTTTTCAGTATAACACCAACTTCATTGTCCATATCAAACCTATGATACTGATGCAGTCAATGTTACAGCAGAAGAAATATTTTACATTCTGACTCTTGAGAATTAATTTTGAACTGTTGCAAAACATGTGCTAATAATAAAGTGTAAATCTATTAAAGTCATTGGGGGTTTTGTCCTTTTTGCTTTGGATATATTTAGTAATGCATGAAATTCCTGATTAGCTGAGGCTGATGGATACCTCTTATGTTTTACTGCAACTATGGAGCAAAGAAATTGAAAAGTGTTGAACAAAGGTTATATTTTTGTCACTTTTGATGTCCGTTGGGCAACAGTGCACAGTAATATATATTAATGATAAAAAATAATGATAACCGCATGTTCACCACGAAACCTACAATCTAAGTGCCACCTTGTAGTCATAGTAGCAACTTGTCATGTATAACAAAGCCACTCCCTGTCTTTCTTTTTCTTTAAGTGGAGTCAATGATTTGCAAAGTTAAAATGGTCATATTCTTAGAACTACAGATATAGGTAGTGATAACCAGGTGATATAAACTGAGCTGCAAAGTTTAAACTAGGGTTAGATTGAGCAAAGTAATTCCAGTAATCCTGACTCATTTTGCAAACAGAGGAGTCGCCTACTGCTGGCTGCCATTGTCTCGGTAGTCAGATTTTTACATAGTTGATTCCTAAATGCAAGTTTAATCTTTTATAAAGCTGAACATTTCACTAGCTGGGACCACAACCTCGGTAACAATGGGGAATGAGGAAGTGTGAACTGGTGCTGCGGTTTGGGGAAGGCCTCGAAGGAGACTGGCGACGGCTCCCGGGCCCAACAGATCCCCATGTACTAACGAGAAATGAATGAAGAAAAGTAAGAGAGGGAAAAATGGGGGGGAAACAGCAGGTATTGGAAAAGGGGGCGTGGTCCCACTCCTGAAATTCAGATGACATTTCCACTGAAAAGGTCTGTGCCTCAGCAATTCAAAGACCATGAAGTCAAGATGCTCCAGGTGAGGCTTGAACTCACAACCTCGGCATTGCTCTACAAAGTACTGTCTTATAAGTACCGCGCGCTCACCGATTGCGCCACTGGAGCTTGTGTGCTTGAGGTATTAGTCAAGTCTAGATTCTGACGTCTTCTTACAACTCAAGTCACCACTGGCTTCACTTTTTTGACCCAAAACCTCAGACGTTACTGAATGTAGCTTCCAGGTTGATAAAGCCAATACATAAGCAGCAACCTTTTTTAGATCAGTTTTAGGGGTTATTTTGTTTTGTTTGGGGGGGTGAGGGGGTGGGGGAGGTATGCAACCAAGATGACAACAGTTCAAAGCTCTCACCAAGTCTTTCTTTAACACTAGTGATGCCTGTTGTTCTTATCGATACCTGGACCTAAAAAGAGCTCAGATTTCTATCAGAGGAAGTACCAAAGAACACATTTGCTCCAGGTGAGTCTTGAACTCACAACCTCGGCATCGCTCTACAGTGCACTGTCTTATCGTTAGCTTCATAGCATAAGTGCCTAAGTCATTTTTTTGTCAAATTTAGATTTTTGCCTAACTTTACTCCCCTACCACTGCTGCATCATCCTGTCCGTCTGAAACACAAAAAAATGACTTAGGCACTTATGCTATGAAGCTAACATTATAAGTACCGCGCGCTGACCGATTGCGCCACTGGAGCTTGTGTGCTTGGTGTGCTAGTTATGTCAAGACATTCTTACCAGAGGATTCAACACTGGCTATTAGAGACAGTTGCCAACAACAACAACAAAAATGCCCATGCATGAGCGCCCATCTTTGTAAGATCAGGTGTTTTTGTTTAGTTTTTGTTTGTTTTTTCCTTGCAACCAAGATGACAACAGCAAAAACCACAGGGTCCATCTTTTACACTGATAATGTCACTGGCTTCACTTTTTAAACCCTAAACCAAAAAATAAAAAATAAATAAACATTGGAAAAGTCAATGCAATTTGCCCTCCCTTGTCATATAAGTTCTTTTACAACCAAGATTGCAAAAAAATGAAAGCAGTGCCGTCTCAGTATTCCTTCTTTAACAGTGGTGATGCCTAAGTGCAAGTTGAATCTTTTATATAACTCAGCCTTGAAAGGTCTCTGCCCTGGTGTTTCAAGATGAACTGAGGACATCTGCTCCAGATGAGGCTTAAACTCACAACCTCAACATTGATCTGCAGTGTACTGTCTTAGAAATACAACACGTTGCCTGATTCCAACACCGGGGGTGGGGGTGCACACATCCAGAGGGTTTATACTGGTAATGTAGAAAAGGTCGTTCTTATCCAATACCTGGACCGAAAACAGTCTCAGAGAAAGCAACCCTCATGAGAGCAGGTGGGGTGCCGCAGTTGAGGTTTGAATTCTCATCCTCGGCCTTGCTCTACAATCTACTGTCTTATAAGTACTGCGTGCTGACTAATTGCACCATTGGCGCTTGTGTGCAACTCATGCTCATCAAGTCAAGACATCCTTACCTCCGGAGTCAATGACGATACATTCATGATGCCTAAATGCAAATTTAAACTTTTATATAACTCTGTTGTTGTTTTATGTGAAGACAAGTAGTCATTTGATATTTCATTTCTTTTGACCCCCCATGACTCGAGTATTTTAAACACCGTGAAATCTCTTATTCTTCTTTTAATTTTAATGTGCATGGTTTTGCAATAAAAGGAAAGCTGGTATTCAAAACATCAAATTATGTTTGATGTTGGTACTGAACATCAGCTCTGAAGAAGAATAAGGATAACAGCAGTTAAACCAAACTCCAATGAGTGCAAATGCCTCTCACAAGTAACTCAAAGATTCTTTTGATGTTTTATAGAGAAAATGGAGCACATAACGAAAGAATACAGACGAGTGTAGTTCATTTTCCTTATTTTAATAATCTTCAGAATACAAAACTATAAAAATTTAATCCAGCAACATTAACTCTGTTCCTCTTATTTTGTCTTTTACTCTTTGCTTTTTAATTTTTTTAATGACATGCATGTATTTGATTTCTTTAATAAGTCCAGTTATATTATTAATATTTAAACACAGATAATACAAAGGGAGAAACATAAAATATAAGTATGCATTTAATGTATTTAATGCTACTAGCTTTGTATGTTTGTGATGAATTTTATTCTACAATAACAGCATTGACACCATATTCTCTAAACTGTTGAAAAAAATGACCCATTCTTTTTGTGAAGATGTAATCACTGGCTCGACAACATTATTCTGAGGTTTGAGGTTAAAAGAATATGACTTTTGTCTAGTTGATCATTTACTCTTTGAATTTTATAGTTTATAGAATATAAGTTTTGATTTGTTTACGTCTTTTCTCTGCTTTAAAATCTATAGTTCTCCTTTACAAAGTCGCAACCAATTTCACAATATACTCTGTTATGCCAAAAAAAGGATGGGATGCAGTTTTTCATTGTGACCTCAGGTATATGCTGTGTGAGTTTTTGTATGTTAGAGTATTTGGTATTTTGATAATGTTGCAAAGCAAGAAAGTCATGCTCTCACATACAGTGAAGACCAATTCTGACCAATCTAATGTGACTTAAATGCATTATCCAACAGACAAAGACATACATAGACAGTCAGGGGCATAGATGTGCACAGCAGATGGAGTGTATTACTTTCTTGCAGCTCTGCTATTCACTCTTCAGAAATATTTCCATCGGATGGCTGAGAGAATGGCATGGATGAAGTACAGGAGTGTAGCCACGAAGGCGAACACCTGAAGCACAAACAAACACAACCAAAGAGCATACTTAAAGCCAAGTCCATCCTTTGCATTATTATTCCGGTTTCAGTTTTCTTTTTAATCCAATTCTGGGAAATCCATATTTGTTTCTTGTCAAGAATTACATGGAATACTAGATATAAACGCCAGTTAGCTTAGCTTAGTGAAAGGCAAAAAAACACATAGGTGGCTCTCTCTGAAGTGAAAGGAAATTCACATGAAGTACACCCGCCCTCGAGGCCTGGAGTTGCCCACCCCTGGTTTATAGTTTATTGTGCAATCTCTGATCACTTTATCTCAACATTAACATACTGTCCAAAAAAATTAAAGGAACACTTTTAAAACAAATCAGATTTCAATGGAAAAAAATCATTCTGCATATCTGTATTGATATGACCTAGGTTATGTGTTAGAAATGAAAGGATGCCACATCATTTTCAACCTAAAGATGGCTGAATTCAAAAATAATGCAGCAGCCTGGTCCATTTTTCTGAAATTTCTTTGCAGCAACTCAAAATGGAACTCAGTATTTTGTGTGGGCCCCACGTGCAGACGCATGTGCTAAAGATCAGCCTTTTTTCATCTGTGACCAGCACAGTGCACCAGTGGACCAGTGGCGGACCTACCAATTCTGATATTCTATGGCAATTGCCACTCGGGCTGCACAGTGCTAGGCAGTGATCGCAGAGCCAACTAGAGGACACTCGGCCCTGAGGCAGCTGTTGTAAAGTCTGTTTCTGATTATTTGATACAAGATATGCACACCAGTGACATGCTGGAGGTTGTTTTTTAGGGCTCTGGTAGTGCTCATTCCTCCTTGCACAAAGGAGCACAAATGCCAGTCCTGCTTTGGGGGCCTTCTACGGCCCTGTCCAGTTCTTCCAGGATAATCCTGGAATTTCCTCCATGCTCTTTGACTGTCTCCCAGACTTTGCTGGAAGACAGTAAACCTCTGACTATGGCATGTATTGATTAGCCATGCTGGAGGAATTGGATAGGTATATTTCCTGAGTATTCAAAAGAAGTCAAAATAATTTTAAATAAGTTGATTAATTAAATATATTAAATAAAAGTAAATTTGAACAAATATTTTGGACAGCTCTATTGGAGTTATTGTACTTACCACAGCAGAAATGTAAGTCCTGTAGATTTTAAGGTCACCGTCTTTCACCCTGATGGTGATGATAGCCAAATCCACCCCTGCACTTAGAAAAAAGAGCGCTGCCAGGCCATGGTAAGCAAAATCCTTCACAAACAGAGATTAAAACATTTTTACAACAAGGTCATAACCCATTAATTTTTCTAAATTTTATTCGGTGTCTGACTATTGCATCTCTCTTACAGCAGCAGCCCAGGGAGAACTGTTTTTATGACCTCCGGCAGCGAAGATGATCATCCAGAGGAAGGTCATGACGAAGCAGAAAACAGAGACGAACATCACCCACCCCAGAGGGTTCGGTGGGTCCACGTGTGTCGATGCAACAAGAATCCAAACCAAACCACCAAATACCTGCAGAGATGAAGAAGAGAGAGCGTGAATGGAGATGGCACATTGAATTATAACATTTATGAGAAGTAATGGGAATCCATCATATTCTTTTTCTAGTGAAGAGTTGGACATATTCAGTGAATAGGAATCTACAGCCAGCACATTTAACCTTAGTTTACCTAAGCTTAGCTCAGCTGGGCTTAGGTAAGCAAGAAGACTAGAAACAGTAGCAATGGTAACAAAATGTGAGCTTTCTAAAAAAGATAAAATATGTAACAAAAAAAACCAAAAAAACAACACATCTAACATTAACTTGAATTGAATTAAAAACAACTAAGTTTGCTCATTTATTAAACATTACATCGTAAATTATAAGGAGGCTCTGTAAAAGCCATTTCAATTTTATTTTAAACTAATAATAACCATAAATATGACCTAAGTGCATAATGCAAAACACATGACATGCTTAAAATAAGTTACTCTTGCATAAAAAGCAACCAGTAATTAAAGACTTTAAAACAGGTGGTCGTGTGGGATTTAAAATATAACATTGTTACTCTAAAAGAGCTTTATCCTGTGCTTACTGTGCAATATGGATTGTTCCTTTAAGCCAAACTTGCCATAGAAAGAGAAATTACATCCATCATTTAAGGATTTCTGTAAATTATCTGAGTATGAAGAAGGGCCACAGTGCTCAATAGCTTCAGTGATGTCATTTATTAACTCACAATGTTGGCATTGCTCTGCAGTGTACTGACTTATAAGTACCACACGCTGACCAATTGTGACACTGGAGCTTGACTGATGTGGAATTTATAATCACGCTAACTCATAACTTGCAGTTATTTCAGATTGCAATCTGAAATCTGAAATGAACATTCCACATGTTCATTAAAACCCACAAAAGCCACAACTGGGACATCGCAGAACAATGATGTCCGCAACTGAAATCCAGGGGAAATCTAAAATTGAAATCTAAAACAGACTTAGCCAGCAGATGGTGGAAGCTTTCTGATATTACAACATCATAAATAAAGCAATCACCAAATTAGCTTCAACTTTAGTGTACTTCAGAGCATTGCTAAGGTTAGGAGTTCACGCCTTACTGGGAAAATGTTTGTTCCTCTATTCAGACAAAACACCTCAAAAGAAAAGTTTTTTCATACAAGGGTCAATGTTTCAATTTTGGGCTCATCTAAGACTAGTGGAAAAAAATATCTGAAATACACACTTAAGGGTTTATTTTACCACACTTAATAAACATTGATGGTAATGTTGATTTTCAACAGCCCATTAAAACACTAATCTCTGTCTCTACTGTTTCTATACATTGCGTTCACCTTATCAGTCAAGCTTGCCATCATTAGCTAAGCATAACGTTCAAATATGATTGTTTTTATTTACCTTTAGTCTAAACCTAATTAAAGTTCCTTCATAAGTCAAGAGCTGTCTTTTAAATTCTAATATCATAACCAGGAAATAAGAACAGGCAACAGTGCATGAATATAAATATCAAAAATATTTATCTGACTCATCGAATATAAAACACAAGGACATTTCACTGACAGCTTAAAAAGGGAGGCAAATGTTATGAGTGTAGTCTCTCTGTTCATTGTGCCAGTAGGTCACAGTAAACAGAGGTATCCATAAATGTATGGACATGGTTAGCAACAAAATTCAGGTAGGATGTGGTATTTTAACAATTCTGAATTGGTACTACATGTGCTAAGAAACTATCATCCAGACTTTTACACCAACAGGAACCTAAACTGCTAAAACAATGCAGAATGTAGCCATGTTTAGGCCAGATTCAAAGCTTACAGTAAATTCACGGCTCCTCAGGACACACAGCACTTTTGCCGTCTTCTATTGTCCAAATTTGGTGATCCTAGCCTGGGTTCCCACCAAGTATGGTACTCTGCTGCTTGTCACCCGTACTTTACTTCGAGGTTAGGCATTTAGAGATGGCTGAAAAAAAAACGGCTATTTGACTTACTGTTGCTTCAGCATGAAAGAGTTCTCTGGCATTTATGTTTTTCTGGCCATTCTCTATAAACCCTAGACATTGTTTTGTGGGAAAATAGCAGCAGATTAGCAATTTATGAAATACCCATAGGAGTCCATCTGGTACCAACAACCATACCGCACTCAAAGTCACTTAAATCACCTGTCCCCATATTGACACTCAATTCAAATTTCAGTGGGTCATCTTGACCATATCTATGTGCTTAAATCCATTACATTCCGGCCACACAATTGGCTAATTAGTTCATTAATTGTTAAATGAACTGTACACTTTGGAACAGGTAAAATAACTTGTTTATACAGCAAGTGTTTCCAGTGCAGTTTAGTCATTGGTGAACTGAAACAGTTCATAAAGGGCTTCTTACTGCATTCGCATTTTGTGTTCGAAACTCATCAGTCTTCAAGATATGAAAATGTTCATGTTTTTAACTCATACAATATAACAGCATGACTGGCTGAGCAGAGCCAAAATAAACAAACTAAAACTTTAGTGAGGGTATTGGTTGTGAGAATAAAAGATCTTTATCTGTGCAGTTTTGTTTTTTTAGTTGTTATACGAGTGTCCTTTGTAATCAGTCAGGGTGAAGAAGAGCCGGCCGCATTCTTTCTTATTATCAGAGACACAATATAAGTGAAATGTGAGATGTGAAGAGAGATGATGCTCCTCCCACATGAAGAATTATCTCCACTGACTCTCTATCTCCAAATTGTGCATTTTTATCCTAAAACAGTGTGGCTACTATATGAAGCTATAGGCCCACTGAGATATAGGACCACTAAATTATCAGAAATACCAGCAGGTAATTTATTTTGGTGAAAAGAAGTTTGAGTTTTGGTCATCCTTAAACTCACACCCAATACATAGCACTGTTACCAATTGTCGTTTATCCTGTAAAAATAGTTTAGGCATCAATTTTAGGCATCATATGAAGTATTTATATGAGCCGAAGGCTTATTTAACTCATATATATATATGAACTTGTTGCCATGACACACCTTAATGAAATATTTGTCGTATTTAAAATACTTTAAAATGAGAACTATAAAATTGTAACTGCATCCTGAAGAGAATACTTAATGACCTGAAGATCATAGTCATTGTTGTCTGTCATTGCCCACTTACCAGTTCAGGTATGTAAAATATATCCGGTGCGGTGGTGCATATTCCCAGTCCACTGGGCAGGCTCCCCATGGGCTGAGCAGTTGTTGCAGCCATCTCTGCCTCTTCCTTCTCCCAGTGCTGATTTAACAGTGAGCACCTTGCTCTTTCCTCTGGACTAACGGTGCAGCAGCAGGTGTAAATGACCCTTTTAAGAAAGTCAGGTGAGCAGTCAGACCCGTTCTGCTATTGTGGGGGAGAGATCCCTTCCCACAACAGCAAACCAGACACACCCTTCGCCTTACAGCACTGAACGTTGCCTGGAATTCAATGTGAACTGGTGACTTGTGACGGGGCTTTCAAAAAACTTGATGAGAGATCTTGTGGCCGCAGGCTAAGTTGAGTCTACTGATTTAATATCTTTGCTGTTGCTATTGAGTAAAGACACACTTCACTGACTTTTCAGTTCCCACTAACCTATAAACCCTTTCTTTGTGTTAGAAAAATGCCTCAAGCCTCTATTTGTATTGCACACAGAGACTTTAACAGGTTTCTTTTCAAAATATAGATTCTAATGATTGTGGGTTAAGACAGTCTACTTTGATCTCACAGACACAAGGCTTCGTTTTGAGCTGCACTAATCAATAATTAATTTCAACAATGGATCAAATGAGCATGTCCAGTGTGAGGGCTGACAGGCCTCGCATCTCCCTTTAGCATTTATAGCACCATGTTTCTAGTTGCTGTTTTGGCTTATGAGCTCAAAGTGTTAGTGTTCTACATCATTACCTCCCCTGGTATCAGTTTCCAGCAACAGTAGGCAAACAAAAAACTTTGTTTGCAACTAGCTGGTGGTGGAGCATTTAACTGCTAACATTGGATATTTTTCTAGGAAATGAGTTTCTGTTACATCAGCTCAAAGCAGTCTGGTTGTTCTTCTCTGACCTCTGGAAAATCCCAACAGATCAGCAGTTTCTGAGATACTCAGACCAAGCCATCTGGCACCAACAGCTCTCAAATTCAGTTAAATAAACTTTTGTCCCCATTTCTGATGCTCAGTGTGAACTTCAGCAGGTCGTTGCCTATAGATACGATCCTGAATGCACTGAGAACAATAAACCAATGGGATGGTTCACTGACTCCTTGTTCTATTTTATAAAGGGTACGACTGGTATAAATGTTCTTAGAACATTTACATCTGTATTAAATCTGTATTTTACACTATTTGATTGGACAATCTTCACCAGCCTGTAGTTTTAATCAAATGGGGATTGTATAAGTTTTTGTTGTCTTTTTTATCTCTGTGCAATTAGAAGATTTACCTGACAGCTCAGGTCTGTTGTTACATAGTATTTCATTCTTCAAAACAATGAAAACAATGAAATTGACGCTGTTTGTTTTCTCCCACAACATGTGATCTCTGACTCATGCTGTCAGTCTTTGCTAATGTTGACACCCTCAACAAACAAAACACATAATATTCCAATGTCCAATTCTTTTATTTCACAATGGAGATTCCAAGACAAAAGTGTGAAGTGAATCATCTAGACATTTACATCATCAAATTTCAAATCGCCAGCCATGCCATGCATAAACACCAAGCCTTTGAAAAAGGCCCAAAATCTAGTGTATTGAAGTTGGTTTAAAAGGCTGTCAGCAGGAAGCGTTATCTCCTTTACAGAAATGAAGCTCTAATAGTGGTTACACTGCAACACTACACTGCAGGTAACTGCTACATCACTCTATGATTGAAAGAAATAAGATGAGAGCAAAGAAACAATGAAACAAATTAATATATCTATATAAATAAAGCTCAAGTGTTGCTAATCCAAGACAATTTAACATTGTAAACACAGTCACTGCGGAACTATAGACAACAACACATGCATCTGACAATGCCTCTAGTGTCAGTCCAATCATACCCTTGTAGCGGCTCGCACTTTAGCTGAATAAATGGGTAGATCACCATCAAAGTGATCATTATTTTAGCTTGGGCCATCAAGTTGCAACAGATGAAATATAGAACGCATTCCATTTATCGTTGGCCTTGTCTTCTGTAGGAACTAAAGTCACAATCCTCCTGCTTTTCCTGCTTCAGTTTTATAAATGTTTTTTTGTGAGAGCAAACTAAAAGTCTAACTGTGTTAAGCTGTAGAAGTAAGTTGTGTGACAAATGTTGGAAATATTTAAATGCTGTGGTGCTGGTTTAGCTCACACGATGAACAGGTGACTGTATGCCACAAGGTTAGATGCAATTCTGTTAAACTCTAGCCTAAGGCTGTATGTCTTTCCCTTTTTGTCCCTTCTTCTCTCCACTATCTAATTCAGGCAAAACAGATATATAGCAAATATTGAAATTTCAGCTATCATATTAGGGCATGTTACTAGTGTGTTACTAGTATGGTAGATGCAGAAAGATTTGTCTTTAAGCCTACATCATTGACGTGGTTTACTTACAGAAACTGAAGGAAACATCTTTTTTTAAAATGTCTCAGAAATATATTTAAAGAAAATTAGGACAGATCTTGAGTTTTAAAAAATGCATTTGTGTTTTTTTTGTGTGTGAGTGTGCAATAAAATTTGTGAACTGAGCTTTTAAATTGTATACTATTGAAAGTTACAGTGAAAAATCAAAGAAATCAAAAGTTATGATAATACCATTCCTGCTTCTGTTTAGATTAGTAATTTCATTAGTTATTTACACTCATCCATCTTTAAACAACATTTAATTCTGAAAACTTATAATTCTCACTTCACATGGATGGATTCTAAAAAACAACATTGAAAATTGTGAGGTAGGCTAATGTGATAATATAATTTTTGTTTGAGTGTGTTTTCCACTTTTTCATCAATTTGATGTTTGGGCATATTGATTCAAAATAAATGCATACAAATAATTTTCCTCTCAATGTATTTGTGAAAGCTATGTGATTATTCGTTTTTTTGTTGTTGTTTTTCTCTTGAGTTGGTGACTTGTTTTAGGACCTCTTCCATCGAATGGCAGAGAATATGGCATGGACGAAGTAGAGAAGAGTGGCCACATAGGACATCACCTAAAAAACAGACAGAAACACAGATGGATGATGGAGATGGTCACTTTGAGGTACAAGACTTTAAAGATTTTAACTTAACTTATAACTTTGATTTGATAACTTTCCTTGTTTTAGCAATTACAATTTGAGACACATATACTTTACTTGCATATTTTCAGTATCTTCCATAATTACATTTTCAATTCCTTGACATAAGAGAAATGTTTACACATCTACATTTGTACTGTTCAACAAATTACATTGTTAAAACATTTTAAAGCTTTGTTCTTTTACAACTACTTTAAAAATTACCAAAAGAGTTGGATAATTTCAGTATGTTGTGCTAAAATTGTCCAGAATAAAGTGAATTTGTCAGAAATACAAGTACAAGATTCGTTATTTCCACTTGTTTTAGTAAATAATGATATAATATTACCATCAAGCAGTTCATTTATTATATAAGAACTTATCTTATTTCATATGCTGCTCAAAAAATCATAAATAAATAAACAAATTAGGGAACAGTAGTCATTGTAGAACTGACATATTCTTAATCCAATTTCAAAATATGTCAGTACATACTTTTAATTTGGATATCTCATTCTTCAAGATCTGAGAGTTCCCTTAATGTGTTTTACGTACCACTGCAGAAATGTACAGTCGGTATATTTTGAGCAGTTCAGCTGTTGGTAATGCTAGAACTTGTGCAAGTTTAACTTGTTGTCCAATCTCATAGGTAATATAGGCCAGATCCACTGATGCACTGAGGAAGAAAACCACCGCCACAAAATGATAGCCTGTATCCTGCAAATTGAAATATAGAGAAAAAATAAGAAGAAGGAAATTTAAAAAAAAAAAAA